TGTGGAGGTGATAAGAAAACAGGATCTGGAGCTATGGTTGATGCACCGAGGCACCGTCATCAATCCTGACCTTTTATGAAGAGAGTCTTTCAACTCCTGTGAGTTACTTAAGGCGAGTGGTATCAGCAGCATCTGTGTACTGTGATCTTGAAGCTTAAAATTGATAGCAAATGCATTAATGTGGTAGAGAAAGTTTCACAGTGTTCTCACCCTTGCTTGTGGAATTATTGTTGCCTTGTTGCCTTTGCTTTGATTTATCGGCCATAACTTCTGTGGTCAAAAGAACCTCTTTGTGTCTGTTCTGGGCCCTCTTTGCCACTAAATGAACATGCAAGAAAAGACAGGTGGTAAGTAGCAGAGCAGAGCTGGCATCAGTGACAACGGACATGCTGAAATGAAAGTGGATTGCAAAGCGGCTTGCAGATGTGGAACAACTGTATGCTGGAAACAGTATCAGCTGATCAAATCAAATCATCAAATTGATGTGGGGATAGCACTGGAATTAGCTGATGGGATCTTCAGCAGTCCCTGCATTACGATGAGCTTCCAGGACTGCAGCTGAGCTTGATTTTGTGGCCCGCCTGAATAAACTCACGCTCAGTTTAATTCAGCTTCAACTTCAAAAGGGTTTCTGTAATCTCAAAGCTCTGCCTGTTCTTGCATGGAAACCCTGCGCTGTTCTCTGGTCGCACTTTGCTTGTTTCCACAAACTCCGGGCCCCACTTTTGCATTCAAACATTGTATGGGACATCTTATCCTGTTTCCCTTCTCCTCTCATTTGTCTATCCTCTCCAGCCAGCCCCTCCAAATCCATATCCATCCATCCATCTGCCCTGAATCCACTTATATAAGGAGATAGGGTGTAAATATTTTGGTATGGAGTGTCAGCGCATATCTTCCCTGCCAGCGGGCCAGCAGCCTCAGTCCAATCAGCCATGTTTGTTTGTTCAGCTTAAACTGTTTGTGCCTTGTTTTCCATGGCATGTGACTCCCTCTAGCTTGATAAAGAGTCACACTTTTTCTTTTTCTGCACACACACCCCCTCCCCACACCCACCCCCACCCCCTTGTGTATGTGTTCCCTGAAAGCAGATAGATAAGCCTGCTGGTGCAGTACTGTGTGTGCGTATGCATCAAGAGTGTATGTGTGAGAGTTGTCAAAGCTGTCAGCGTGACTGGAGTTGTTCTGGCCGACAGTCGAGTGTTGAACAGCAGCCCTTTTACTCCCTACAACACACACACACACACACATACACACCCATGCATACGCACATAACATCTGTTCCGCACGCCACAGAAAGGCTGTGTTATTATGATGCAATCCTGTTTCGTACTGATCAACAACTATTTACAGCTACTGTCTGGAACATGCAAACATCCTGTCAAGGCTCGGGCGCTGTAAATAAGTACCTGTTGAGGCTAGCTTATTTCATCCCTGTGTCATCATTCCAATATTGGCTATATCCCCCTAATAACAACAACTCCCTATGTGACTGGAGCCAGGAAGTGATCTACACTGTCCAAACACAATGTCACAGCCCTTCAAATATATCCAATTCCAATGTCATGGCTGCGTATTGTGCAGTCTCCAGGTGGATTTGAAAAAGTGGCATTCTTAGTGGATGACTTTTTTTTTTTTTGTTCCCACTCCCCACCCTTCTCCCACCACCACATGCAATAAGCAATCTGGAGATTCGTAATGGTTTGGCCCAGTATTACAGGGCCTCCTAATGTATTTCATGCTTGTTTAAGATCTTTGCATGCTCCTTACAAAGGTGTGCTATGACGGCTGTAGCTTATTACCCAGTTCTGTATAGAACTGTAGTTCTGTATAGAGCTAGGAGACTCGGGGGGGGGAGTTGTAGGTGAGGGGTGAATGGATGGGTTTTTTTATTTTCAGTTTTCTCCCTCTCGCCTTCCTTCTGTCAGCCCCTTCTCACTCTCTCCTTTTCTTCCTCGCCGGTGATCTCTGCATGCCTATTAATGTAGAAGAGGAATGCCTGTGTAAACATTCTTGTTTCTCTGTTCATTTCGCATAATAGTTGCCTGTATCGCCTTTCTCCTGACCTCACTATCTGAAACCAATTACACCAGATCCATTTGGGCTGAATCTTATTTTCATAAGGATCCCCGTGTCGCGGTCTCGGTTGCTCTGTGTTATTTTCCCTCCTCCTTATTTTTTTTCCAACCTCAGTGATGGATATCAACATCAAATATGCCTCTGAGTGCCTTGTTATTTATATAGCAGGCCCTGGCTCTCTCTCTCTCTCTCTCCCTCTCTCTCTCTCTCTGTCTGGCTAGCGCTCTCATTCTGAAGAATGTGTCACATTGTGCTGTTTATACAATGTGTGCATTAATAGACTGGGGATGTCATTTTTTTGTGCATAGCAACCCAGGTTAAATAGACGCTGCGTCTGTACTCGTCTGTGTTTTTGTCCGCTCCAGCAGCTCTTCAGCAAACTTTTGATGACTTTCCTTGGCATTTGGTGCTTTTCTGTGCTTTGAGATGGGCTTCAGCTTTACCATCTCTGTGGAGTGGGAAGTGGGTGGCACAAATTGGTGCTTTTTACTGTAATGGCAGAATACTCAGAGCCAGCGAAAGTGAGGGGACGGGACTTTTATTCCTCCCTTGCCTTCCACACCATCACAGGCTCTCTGAAAAATAGCTAACCCCACTTCCACGGAAGAGGTGACAGACAGTTTGAGACATGACAAACCACTCTGGAAAAGTTTGGCCGGTGTTGATAAGGTCTGTGTTATGTTTGGAGAGGGACTCTTTATGCAGTCTGAGCAGACTTCTTTTCTAATAAGCCTGGTGTAGTTGATCTCTCCGCTTCACCCCCACGCGTCACCTCTCACGCCTGCACCTCCCTCGGTATTTACTCGGCGTGGATATTGGAAGCGCAGTTAAAAACATCTCTGTCTTTGTACTCGTGACCGTGTGAAATATATTGAGTGGCTCTCTTGACTTTGGGTATAACACAGCGAGTCATTATTGATTCGCACACAGATAAACATTTCCCCCTGACAGATACCTTGAGCTGCACTCATCAAGCAGCCTTCCCTCTAACTACTGTGTGCAGGACTCAATAAGCCTGATAATTACTTTGATTCACCAATCATGGCGAGATTAATTAGGCCCTGTGTTTTTAATTAGCGACGTGATTGGCTGCATTCAGAGAATTTGCGTTGTCTTTCAGGAAAAAGCGAGTCAAGCGGTGTTTGATTTCACATCCAGTTTGTCAACAAAACTTTATGTGGCTGTCTGCGCCTGCTTGCTGCAGGTGTTAATGTGTATTTTAGTGTGTGTTCATAAGAAAGGCCAAGGCTCAGTTTACAGATGTCACATGCACACACACATACACACACACAAAGCAATGGCAACTAGGCTCATCTTACCAAGGAGACAGATCAATGCAGTTAGGACCCAGTGCCAGTGTAATGTGTTTGTTTACTTCAGTCCAGAAAGCCTGGCTCCTCCTGAGCAGCCAGACAGAACCCCCACACCACCACCAGCACCACCTCCACCTTTACAATCATCCCCCCCTCCCTCCAGTTCTGTCTTTTCATAATTGATCGAGGGGGTTGTCTGCATTCCCAAAGGGGTTAAGATGGGGCAACTTTTTTTTTTCCCTCTCTCTCTCCTGCCTCCTCCTCCTGTTTGCTCAGGATCTCAATGTACTAGTTCAAACATTGTTCCCACCAGCTGGCAGAGCTGCGCCATATGCACGCCCTGTCAAGGCAGCTGTTGTCATGGATACTGGCAAGCGCTGGAAAATAAAATGAGCATCCCTGATTCCTGAGGAAGTGTCACTCTCCATCTGAGTTTTACTCCCCCCCCCCAACCCCATTTCTTGCTTCTCCTCCTCCTCGTCCCCTTCTTTTTTCATCAAAAAAGCCAAACACCTGTGAAGTTGTTGTGTTGTGTGCATGTGCCCCCCCCTTCCTCTCTCCACTCCCACTTGATGCTCATGGGCCTGAACAATACAAGGTACACGCTTGTGTGGAGCAGTAGTAGCAGCAGCTGTGCACAATGTTCTTTTCTGCCAGGCTCTTTCATCCATCTGCTCTTGAAGAATTTGAGTGAAGCTGCTAGCCCAGCTGCCGCCGTTACCTGTGAAGCTGGTGCTTGCTCGTCGCACGCATTCAGCGCACACAAGCAGGCGGGGGGGGGGGTGTCTGTAATCCCATCAAACCCTAGAGAAATAAATTACGCCATATCCCAGCAGTCTCTCTGATTCCTATCATATCGATGTATGGCAAACACATCAAAGGGTGTTGATGACAAATTTCGCAATTTACAAATAGGATTTTTTCTAATTTTTCATGTCATGTGTAAACAGCTGCGAACTAATTTCATCAGGCAGGGAAAGGCCTCTCGTCCTCTACCGATCTATTCATCTTTCTATCTATCACCCATCCGCTGCGCATAAGCACCCTTAATGCATAGTGTAAAACCTGGGCTGCTAGTTAATTCACTCTAAATGTAATCTGATGTTGATTTTGTCAACTTTAATTACAGCTCCCAGGGACACTTCACATGGTGCTGCCTCTACTTCAAATTGATATTATGAATATGCAAATGTGGCAGTAATTTGCAGAGAGAAGTGGGTATTTCAGTTGAGCACACACTAGACAGGTCAATTCTACTCTGCCGTTTTTTTTTTTTTCTCCTGCCCACCGCCTCACCCTCTTCCCCACCCTCTTCTTCAGGGTTGCTTTAGACAAACTGTATTTATCCTTGCTCACAGCTCTGTGAATTGTTACTAAAACATATCATAGTGTTAACCACGTCACAATGAAAGAGGTGATGTTTGACAGGCCTTTCGCTCAGAGATGACTGTTTTCATCCGCGAAAATTTGAATTATCTCTACTGTCAGCTTTAGGAAATCTAATAGTTTATTTTCCTCTGCACCTTTCTCTTTCTCTCTCACTCTCTCTCTCTCTATTTCTTTCTCTTTTTTAACACCGTCTTTTGTCTTGTGTTTTTTTCTTCCCAGGCTCTACAAGCAGCGAGGCAATTACTCTTGCAGCAGCCAGGCAGTGGCCTGAAATCTCCAAAGAGTCAGGACAAGCAGCGTCCACTGCAGGTAAAGCAGCTCCCTGTCTAATCTCTTAAGTCCATCCATAATACATGCTCCCCCGAAAAGAAGATTTCCTCTGTTGCACAAAGTGTGTTTGATTTGCCAACGCAATCCTTGGGCCTGTCATTGGAATCTTAAAGTCTGGACAAGCGGGTCCCCGGGAAGCTGAAGCGTCACACAGACGCGAGAGAAACACAACAGAGGCAGATCTCAAGGAGCATTGTTTCATCTGCAGGCCATTTGCCTGTTTTCGAGTACGCGATGCATGAAACTGTACAAATACACCACAAGTATATCCCAAGGTTATGTGGTACAATGACAAAATGGCTTTTCTACACTGGATCCATAATGCTGTTGACACAAGAAAATTCAGAGGCTAGTTATTATTTGAAAGCCACGTCAGCCTGGATAGTGGGTTACACAGACAGCTAATTTTAACTTCCTCTCATTTCCACTTTTCAACGCTAATTTACCTTATTGATTTGTAGAGCTGTCTATATCTGATGCCAGTGATTTTGAAAAAGGTCACTCTTGTACACAGATGCGCACACACACAAACACACACACGCGCGTGCGCAGTTTCGCGCTGACGCCACACTCACACATATATACATTAACAGTCCTTTCAGTCCTCCGTCTTCCTACTCTTAACACTTTTCTCACATCAGCAACTTGTTTCATTCAGTCAACTAGACAGTTCCTGCTTGAAATTATGCAAGGCCCCTTGACATCTGCTCTGTGTTTTTATTAGAGGATTTTTTTTTTTTACATTTAATTTATTTTTAGCCGTTTGAAATTGAAGTGTGGGAGTTTATGCCCTCCACTCGGCTAATAAGTACTATCAAGGAGCAATGGTTTACCTCATTAGGAGCTCTGTGCATTTCATTAATAACAGGGAAATTGGCGTTAACCTCACCCGTTGATATTTTCACAGAGTCTAACAATGGCGACACCTTCAATTGGAGTCACACCCCTGTGTGCCTAATTACGTACTGGCTGAGAGATAAGGTTGGCAAGGACTAAGTCTTCCCTTCCTTGAAATAATTTGACTGGGGCTCATCAAAAGCATTAATATTATCAGTATATTCTCTTGCAGTGGCATGTTTATTTATTCTACTATATATTTCTATATCTAGCTGTGGCAAAGGGCGTTCATCAAGAATAAGCTTATTGTTGGATTTCTCTGTTTGAGTAAATGTATGCTAAACTGAGTAAATTGAAACAAATGGGAATCTGATCTACAAATGCCTGCACAGTCACCAAGTACAGTACATGGCATGAAGAACAATATTGAACGAGAGCTGTGTGGGTGCATCGTAACCGTCAGCCCACGTCCAAGCCCCTGCCTCTAATAACAGCAGCAGATGGTAAATATTGAATATTTACATTTGCTTACTCCATTCTTGACTCGTTGACGATATGAATCAATATGAATCAGAGGGCCCTGCCGATCGGCCTGTCCTCAGCTCCCAGCTAATCCATTTGTTGATCCAGCTTTTATTAACATCCTCACCTCTTTGTTCCAAAAAGTTTCCATTCAGCAGACTGTCACAGGAGAGGCGCTGCTGCCAGCTCACCCAGTGATGCACAAACAGGGCTCGGTGCATTCTGGCCCCAGATTGTTTTCTCATAGTTTTCTTTTTTCCAGCGGTGGATGTGCTTTTGCTTGAATCCACTCATTTCAAATGACATTTTAACTGTATTACTCCTTTGTGCAAATATCAGTATAAAGCGGTAGAAACTCTTACTTGATTAAAATGCTTTTTTTTTTGTTTTGCTTTTTTTATTGTCTTTCGTCTCATGCCACATTTTTTGTGTTCTTGTCTTGAGGGAGTTTCCTCAATAAAGCTGCATTATTTACCTGGATTATGAGGCCGCAATGGGTGCTGCAGCGCAATATTTTATTAGCTTCACTGCTAGATAAGAGTCACTGGCAATCAAGCTACATGTTTTCCACTAGAGGAATCACGCGGATTGATCCCCTTGTATGATTAGCGCAGCAGAAAGTGGGAAAAGGATTAATATTACCATGACATCCTGCTTATGGCAGAGATACTGATAAATCCTCTGCTTCTTGTTCTCCATCTTTGGTATTTAAGAGCGAGAAATGATCCATAGATCACGGCATGTAAATTATTTAGTACACAAGCATCTAAGTGCCTCGGCTTGCAGTTTTAATTACTCGTATTAGCGGCTAAAGGCTCTCGCCTGACTAATTCTATCCGCTTGCTTGTCGCTGCTTCTCAGAAGTTGATGATGCGGAGGCAAGCAGCTCTAGCGTTCACATGCACACAAATTCACATGTACGGGTGAAAAAATAAATAATAATAATAATAAAACAGCCCCAAAAACACACACACACACAAAAACACACTCACTCAAGCTGCTTTTCCACATTTGCGTAATGTGACAGGTCTATTATTACACAGTAAGCCCACGGGAGCACTCAATAAACACCTATTTCTTCCTGTAAATCCCCTGCCTCTGCTTACACGGCTCTCCTAAGGCACACAACACCCTCTCGTCTCTGCTCCTGTCTCCCCTCGCTCTCCTCTTCTCTATGCCAATACCAGCCCCCCCTCTCTGAAAGGCATTTATACACTGACATTTGGAATACAAATAAAGAAACGCGGACAAGGAGAGGCGGAGAGGATTACAGAGGCCTATGAATCTGACAGTTGTTTCGCTCGCACCGTGCATCTACACACAGCCTGCACAAACACAAGCACAGCGACAGTTGCTTAAAGTTTTACATTGCCCGAAATGACTTTGTTCAGAACGTGTTTGTTAGCGGCCCTATCGATCGTTATCGATAAGAAACAGAGCAGCGCTCTGTTAGTGTAACACCTGCTGGGTGCAGGTTTTGGCTCACCATCCACCAGACATCTCAAATAAACTCCTCACTCCTATCATGATTGCTTCAGGAGCCACATGTAAAATAGCCAGAATGACCCCCAACCCTTGCGCTGCGACTGTGTTGGATGGCATCCACCCGCCCCGACCCCACCTCCTGCTACTTAACGTCCAGTTCTAAATCATGCAAAATCTGAGAGCTCGCCCTGAGCAAGTGTTGCAACTGCTGCTGTGTCACCTTTCATGCCATCGAGCTGTGACTACTTTTTTCTACAAGACTAATAACCTCAGCTCCGTCTGTGCAAAGCTCAGCTATGAATGAAAATATTTAAGGTTTTATGGTTGGTTTATGGATCGGCAGAGATGTTGGTTTAGCCGTGTTTTCTGTAAATTTGCAGCTTCCTGCCCAGGCCAGTCACACCGGCTGCAGGCACTGGGCCATCCTAGGAAGTGTCACACTTTTTAAAGGTCAGGTCCACACATTTCACCACTGAACCAATATCACCTCAATAGCAGCACTCATCTGCTTATTGGCTTTCATCCGGAACACACACACACACACACACACATAGACGCAGGGAAAAGGGCTGTGACGCCAGGCTTAAGCATAAGTTAGCCAACTCCAGTCTGCGTGGCTAAAGGATGCTACTTCACATTTACATTTATGAATATATCTTTCCTCTGCATCCCCTCTGGTTGGATCTGAAAATAGAGAAAAATTATCACAGAGAAGAAGGGAAAAAAAGAGTGTTGGGGGGGTGGGGGGGTATTATGTTATTCATGAGAAAAACTTCTGTTGACTCTGAGAGAGAAAGAGGGGGAAAAAAACGTCAGCACATTTTAAGTCAAACACCCTTGGTTACTGCTTTTGTAACCAGAAAACAAGATTCCCCCCCACCCTCATCTCCCTCCTTCCCTACTTCTTTTTTTTCCTCCCCCTGCATTTACAACACCTACAGGACAAGATTGCTAAATTGCGAGGACAGAGCAGGTTCATCATTGTGATGCAAAAGAAGTTGAAATGCTACCCCAAGGCGAGGTAGCTGAGTTTGGGGGATCAAGAGAAAGTGAGAGGGAGGGATAAAAAAAAAAAAAAAAGTAGCTCAGACCTTTGATGTAGCAGCAACAAATTTACCTTGTGACAGAAGATACATGGGTGCAATAAACGAGTTATACCAGCCCTTACACATGCAATCAGATGATTCTGGCCAGGGTGTTAATTGGATCCTAACCGGCAGATCTGATACGCCCGGGCCCTGGTGGTGAGGGGGAAAGCCTTTCCAAGTGATGAACTATAATTCACTGAGCTGCTTGAAGCACTTGTAATTTACTGTGTGTCACTGATGAAGAGGCTGATCCAGTGGAGGCCATATTACCTGCAACATCAGAGGAAAGTAACCCCCCCACCCCCGACACACACACACACACACGCACCCCACATCCACCTGCTCTCACTTGTGCTCTCTCACTTTCTTTCTATTACAGTTCTCTCCTCTCTCTGCACTTTCTTTTATAATTCCCTCCCGCTCGCTCTTTCTGTCGCTCCCATTTACTCTTGAACTGTGTGCACCTGCAGGGAGGCATCAGTCGAGAGTGAATTGTGCCAGTTTAATGATAAAGGTGTGACAATTTGTACTGATAGTGACACAAACAATGTGCACAATGTCGCACAGCTACACTACATTCAAGACGCTTAATCAGTGACTTTCTTTCGTGTAGAGATAAATCAATATGGAAATTGTGCTAAGCCCGTTCCAATCTCCTTGGGCTTTTTTATTAGAGGCTTTTACATGATGGGTCTTTATGTTATGATAAATTGCACTTCCCATGCACTGCTGCCAAACTGCTATGGAAATTGATTTAGGAAAACATTCAGTAATCTACTTAGCTTCAGTCCTGACAATCTACAGTATTGATCTCCCTAAGCTGAACACACGTCATGCATTTGAGCGTAATCACTCTTATGTATGCGTGTGTTATTTTGCATAGGAAACACAATCAGGCCTCTTGCAAACTTCTCAGTCAGGTGCAAGCCACACCAGCTCGCCCTGTCGCCTTGGTGGTCCTCTGGTGAAGAGTCCCGGCTATCAATAATCGCCCAGCCACATTTGGCAGTAATTGGCTAGTAAATGAGCAGTGTCAACTGAAATGGAGTTGAGAGGTCAGAAGTCCACAAACTACGGTGGAGGTCTGCTCGGCGTTGTGGCCCATGCCCCCTCCTGGGATGCTTAGGAGATTGAGATGAAATAAGGAAATGTAGGGAGGCTACATGTAGAGAGGTTTGTCTCTTTTCTCTCTAGATTTCTTAATCTTTTTTTTTTCTTTTTCATGTGTAAAATGAATCTTGTGGCTTAATTAGCAGTGACTCTCCTGCCAAGGATCCACAATAATTACCGACTAGGACCCTTCCATTTCTCATTGCCTTTATCTCAGCCGTGTCTGAAGCTCCACACAGTTCCCCGTTCAGTAC